GTTACAGCCCAAATCCTGTAATGGATTTTATAGCCTTGTAATTAGGCCAACGCTCTGGTGGCAAGCAATGCCTTCATATTTCACATTTCCTCCTACAGGAGGGTCTGTTTTACTTGCTTATGCCAAAAACAGCACTAAGGGTATAGGGCAAGAGCATAACGTAAAACAGGTTCTCCAGATTCTACAATCTGTACTACATTGGCCTCGTTGAGATTTAATAAATTCAAATAGGCCGACCTTTGGGAAGTTTCACTTAGCATAGTGCATGGGGTGAAAATTCACTTTGCAAAAGAATACCCAATCACAAGCAATAACAGTTTTTGTTTGCTTGGACAGAATTGGATGATGCAAGTTAGAGCTTCACTCAATTAAAGTGGTAATAAAGCCAAGTTTAAAAAAAAAAAAAAAAAAACTGCTGACAGACAGGATATTTATGACAGGTCTCTTCTGTCAAAAAGGCTTCCTCCTGTCAGCTGCCAAGTACACTGAGCCGCACAGTGCCAGTTTATGCCCCCCCCCCCCCCCCCATCTGTGCTGTGGTTATATGACTCATATAATGGAGGTGACATCATCGCAGCCAAGCCATTGAAGCAGCTGAAGACAGGAGAACCTGGAAAGAAGACGGGGCCAAGATGGAAGTGCCTAGGACCCACCGGACTGATCGCAGAGCAGTGCTGGAGGGCTTCTCTGACAGGTAAGTCTGCCAGAATATGTTAATATGCAGTGCATACTAGCACATTATGGCATATACCTGCAGGACCCCCCCCCCCCCCAAAAAAAAAAAGAAACACCAAAAAACACACAAAAAAAGAAAAAAAAACAAACACACACACACACACACACACACACACAGATATTAGACTTTACTACTGCTTTCAAATGGAAAATTCCCTTGCACGTGAACTGTCCTTTAGCAAATCAACCCCAATTCCTTCATATTTCACAGACTGACATTTATGTAGAGCTAGCATTTCCCTAATCACACACCAGGTGACCCTTCTACTACAAGGCCTATGAAATAACCCTACCAGGACACATTTGTGTGCAGCCAGAAGCCCAAGCTGGCCATAAACTACAAATCCCAGCACAGCAGGACTCAATGACACTGGGAGCTGCCCAACAGCTGGAAAACCACAGGTACCTTTGTGTCTGATACACAGCAAGACTATCTAATGACTGCTAACCCTAGAAATCACCCAGACACACTCCTAGTAGGATTACAATTAGAAATGTGCCCTCTCCCAGGAAAATGGTAAGGTCACCATCAACAAAACACACCAACAGGTTGAGGAATACTTGGCAGATACAACGGCCATTATATTCAATGATTTGCACAGGATAAAATGTTTAGAGAATACTTTGACCTAGGCCAAGTCAGTGTTTGCACTTTCGAAGCCTGTAGGCTGTCCACTGTGCAAGGAAATTTTCCACAGAGCTTAGTAAATGTAGTGGAATTTCACTTTGCAAGACTATCCAATCACGTACAAGGGGAAAAAAAAAATAGTATGTTATTATTATTATACAGGATTTATATTATATTATTATTCAGGATTTATATTATATGATTATTATTCAGGATGTTGCTTGTATATGATTAAATTAAGATTTTCACCTCTTTCACCAACGTAAGGGAAATTTCCCCTGCAAAGGTCACTTTACAAAAGAATATCCAATCAAGTGCAAGGAAAAATTAAATAAAAATGTTCTTGAACACGATTGGATGGTGGAAGTCAGCAGAGGATCACCTCATTCACCAAGCTCTGGGAAAACCCCTTACAAAGTGCAAATTCTCTTGCAAAGTGAAGTTTATTTGCCTTTAGTAAATTAACCCTGATGGCTTTAAAAAAAAAAAAAAAAAAAAGAAAATTTTTTGCTTTGAATGTAATAAGATGTTGAAGATGTGAAGCTTGAGCTTACGAAAAAAAAAAATAAAAACAAAAAAAACACCACACCCACAGGGCCAGACAATGGAACAGTAGGAGGAGCGTTCAATGACATGGCGCTATGTACACAACTCTGACACAGCTTTCGTTTTCGCGGATTCTGAATGACTGTCAAGGGTTACAACACGTGTGTGTACTCAGCACCAGATGTGTGCACCCAATGCCTTTTCTCTGTTCAGAAATAGCTCCAAATGTGCTGTTCATCAACTCACACCACAAACCAAATCCATCATTTTCCGGAATATTTTATTTTGATTTATATAGAAATATTTAAAAAAACATGAAGTAGCACCATTACTTAAGTTTACCTTTATTTATGTAGAACTTTAAATGTCAGAAAAATAAAACTCTTGATACAATTTTCAAATCTTGTCTTCAGCAAATATAATATTAGTATTTTTGACCATGAGGTTAAAGGCCCTTTATCATAAAATAAAATATACTTTTTGTTTTTTTTAAACTTTGCTCAGTAAAGTACATTTACGCTCAAGTCACATTACCTACATATACATAAACAAGTAGTAAACAAAATGTATTAAAATAGAAATACTAAAACTAGAGTGGTGCAACAGAATTTTTGAAATCTCCACTGAAATCTATTTATACAAATGTTAGAAAGGAGTCAAACGGCTTCTTTTTTGTTGGCTTCATATGCTCATACATTTCAATTTTTTAATAATATAGACTAAAATAGGCTTTTGTATCACGGAATAGAAAAAGACACTGGGTGAAGCAGATTTAAAACGTTGGTTTTGCTGGAACCTATAAAAAAAATCTCCATCCCAACACAATACTGTTCAAAACATTTTGCAGTTTTTTTTTTGTCGTTTTATTTTTCCTCAAATGCGTGTTGTCCCCCCTCCCCCCCACTTCACCTGTGAGATATTAAAATAATACAGTGTTCTTTGCCAAGAAGGCCATACTAAAAATAAAAGATTTAAACCCAGCTACAAAAAAAGTTCACTGAACTTAAAATTAAAATACTTGTAAACATCTTTGCAATATGAAATATAATTTTTCAAGTCAAAAAAGAATAAAATACTTCAATCTGTATTAATGCAATTCGTCTTTAAAACCTTTAAACGCATTATAATTATATATATTTATATATTTATAGAAGATATGTTACAATTTAATATTAACTTTGTTAAAGCTGCAGTATCATGGGGGAGGCTCCATGGAGTGTCTTTGTTCTCCAGGGAAGGTCAATTATAAAAACGAACAAAAAAATATATATATAGAAATTAAGAAAAAATAAAACACTTTCAATATATTAAAAAAAAAATAAAACAATGCTTGGCTTGTCAAAATAATATTACTATAGTCTACAAAGCCACACAAAAGAAAAGCAAAGCAAAAAAAACAAAAAAAAAAAAAAAAAAGTGAAAATATTTTGGAAGATTTGTCTTTAGAAGTACAGTGTTCCTAGGATGGTTTTGTTCATATGTGAAACATGCAAAAGATGTACTTGGTTTCCCAAGATGCAACACATGGCCATGGGAAGGAATCTGCAAGTTCCCTTTAGAAAAAAAAAAAAAAATAATGATATTTAAAAAAAAAAAAAAAAAAAAAAAAAAAGAACACAAAGATATGCAGATACTGCAGCTTTAAAGCCACATTCCCACTTGGCAAGGTAGCAACTAGATCTTCTACAGTAAGAGCCCTTGTCTCAATATACTCCAGGCCTTGTCACTTTTTTTTTTTTAACCCCTCCAGAGCCATAACAGTACCTTCCAGCAGGAGAGGGGTTAAAATTGGCCGGGTGACATCCGAAAAAAAAAAAAAAAAAAATCTAAAACTGGCCCATTGGCCTCACTGCGAATGGCAGAAATATAAGATGCAGAAATCAATATTGCTTCTGGAGTGGGCGCATGTAAATCAGTTGCTGCAAGCTATTTACATAATGAAGCAATAGTGGGTACCACCGAGAATAATGCACAAAAGGGGTCCTTGTTTAATGAGACATGCACTTACTATTTGACATCTGGACCCCTGTAAAAAACCATCATTTGCCTTTGGAATTGCATGAAAGGCTACTACAAAAAGACATCTATGAGCTGCCAGCCCCGGCATAGAGAGCCCCGGGAGGGCAAGTAACATAAGCAACATCACAATATTATATATATATTATTTGCATATTAATATATTACAATATATTAATATATTAAAAGGTTCTGGTAAATAATATATATACAAAACAAAAAAAAAAAAGAGACAAACACACAAGTATGTATGGCACCATACAAGTGGGAATGTAGCTATAGGGCATATATGTTTTTTGTTTTTCTTATAGTACTGAATAAAAGAAGGCTTGAGTGTTTTGCTCTAGGAGAAAATGCGAATAGCCTGAGTGACTTCTGCGTGACACACCGGGCATTGTGGCTCATTCTTCTCGCAGATGCGGTTGGCACACTCCATGCAAAACAAGTTGTGGCCGCAGGGTACCAAGGCAGCGATCACCTCGCTCTCGAAGCAGATGGAGCAATCGCGGCTGCCTTTCCTCCTCATGCCTGACGAAGAGGAAGACGAGCTGGAAGAGGAAGAGCTGCTGCTGGAGGACGAGGAAGAAGAGGAGGAGTCGGAGCCAATGTTGGTGTAGGCGGAGTAGTTCAGGCCACCGCCGGGGTCACTGCGCACTCTGCGTGCTAAGGGATGCTCTGGAACCACGTTGCTCCCATGCAAAGGAGGAGAAAGCCTGGGGGGAGCGGTGCAGCCCACCCCATTGAGTCGTCGGTGGTTGGAAAGCAGCCCGTTGGCGTTGTTTTGGTAGGCACCGGTTGTGCCATTGCGTTCGAACTGGGACCAGAGCAAAGCAGTCCCAGGTGGGGCGGGGGCAGGGTCAAAAGGAGAGTCAAACGCCAGCTCAGTGCATTCGGGAGAGATGGTCTCGCTGGCATACACGTATCCATTGCCATTCACGTTATTGTTATTGTTGCCATTGTTGGTAAAACTGAGGGCAGGGCTGGGCGGGCTGTAGTCTGCCAACCTTGTGCCATTGGTGCCCCCAAAGTAGGAGTCAGTGGAGGCACTGCCCAGAGAGCTGGAGCTGTCATTGCGGTAATTGGAGAAAGCCTTGCGTGACCCCGTGCTGGAGTTAATGCCCGGGGTAGGCTTGCTCCATAGGCTCCCTGTGCCATGTAAATCAAAGCCAACGTCAGTCCCATTCGCGTGAAAGTCATTCTCGTCGGTCAGCTCTATGAGCCCTCCAGTACGTACAGCGATGTGCGCCTCGATCTCCTCCCGGGCGCGATCGACATTCTCCGGCATGCCGGTGACCTCAAACAACCGGCTCTTTATCCCTGCTGGGGGTGACAATATACGTGTGGGTCTGCTGCTGGATCCTTTTAATGGTAGCCCCTTTAGGTCCTACTACCAGACCCACCACTCTGTAAGGAACCCGAACCTGAATGGTGGTCTGCCCAGGAAGGTTTGGAGGTCCAGGCACTGACCCCCCATTCAATGCATTCTTATTGCGAGAGGCTCGGATCATTGAAAAGTGCTCTGCTGCTGAGATGATCTCTCTCCTGGCCATGGCTACATCCTCCTTTCTCCCAGTCACAACAAAGACAGGCTCCTCCCCGCGGACCGGGGTCTTGATGTAGGTGTTGGTCTTCGCCCGCAGAGCTTTGATTTTACAACCTGGGGAGCAAACAAGGAGATAAAATGGACAATTACTACCAGGGTAACAAAAAAAATGATACATTAAGAAAGGTTAAGCACTCCCAGCAGAATCAGTCATGAGCCACCTACATGAAACAAGGGATGAGCTCCAAGGTGGGCAGCGGGAGTGCCAACACAGCACAAAGCAACATGCAGCAGCAGCATCACGGCACTGACACCCATTGCTGCACATACCAGGCACTGACACCCATTGCTCCACATACCAGGCACTGACACCCATTGCTCCACATACCAGGCACTGACACCCATTGCTCCACATACCAGGCACTGACACCCATTGCTCCACATACCAGGCACTGACACCCATTGCTCCACATACCAGGCACTGACACCCATTGCTCCACATACCAGGCACTGACACCCATTGCTGCACATACCAGGCACTGACACCCATTGCTGCACATACCAGGCACTGACACCCATTGCTGCACATACCAGGCACTGACACCCATTGCTGCACATACCAGGCACTGACACCCATTGCTGCACATACAAGGCACTGACACCCATTGCTGCACATACAAGGCACTGACACCCATTGCTGCACATACAAGGCACTGACACCCATTGCTCCACATACAAGGCACCAATTAACCACTGCAAGACCCACAGCCACCCATCACATTCACAATGTCAGCCAAATATATTTTCACCCTTTGCAAGCCATTGGTACCAATAAACAATTGCAGGATCTACATGCACCAACCAACCAACGAAAGACACCCAGGCACCGATCACATTCACAATGTTGGCCAGATCTACATGCATCCTCTAGAAGACCCACATGCACCAATCCACCATTGCAAGGCACCGATCACCATACAGTCCAGGTCTCTATGCCCTCACAGTAACCCACCAAACAACCATTGCAAAGCACGTATGCACTAATCACATTCACAATGCAGGCCTGATCTATATGCATCCATTGAGAGACATTGGCACCAATCAGCAATAGGAAGAGACACATGCACAATGTGGTCCAGATTTATTGAAAGCCATTGTCCCATGAATGAGATGTACCCAATATAGAAGGAGACAAATCCAACAGGGTGGATGTAGCCAACAAAGGGAGGAGATGTGCCCAGTACAGGAAGGTGTGCACTCAACGCAGGAGAGCTTTACCCAGCGAAGGTGATCTGATTCCCCCTTTGTAGGTGGTGCAGTATGGAGGGTGATGTACGTGGTATGGGGGGGGGGGGGGTAGATGTTAATGTCCACAAAGAAGGTGGTCCAATTCCCCATACCCCGATGGTGCCGCATGGGGGGGGGGGGGATGTCCCCAATAAAGGTGGTGTGGTACCCAGTTTGGGGGGAGAGGTTTCTGGTGAAGGTGGTCTATGCTGCCCCTGTTGATGATGCAAGTATGGAGGGTGATGTCCCTGGTGAAGGTGGTCTATGATTATCCCTCATGGATGGTGCAATATAGGGGGGGTGATGTCCCCAGTACAGGTGGGAAGATGTCCCCAATGAAGGTCTGATCGCTTCACTGATGGTCCAGTAATGGGGGTGTGCGGGAGGGGTTCCCAGTACAAGTAGGTAGATGCCCTCACTGAAGGTCTGATCCCTCCATTGATGGTGCAGTATGGAGAGGTTGATATTCCCAGTACGGGGGTGGGAGGGGTGTGATCCCAGTACAGTCATGTAGATGCCCCCAGTGAAGGTCTGATCCCTCCATTGATGGTGCAGTATGGAGAAGTTGTTATTCCCAGTACGGGGGTGGGAGGGGTGTGATCCCAGTACAGGCATGTAGATGCCACCAGTGAAGGTCTGATCCCTCCATTGATGGTGCAGTATGGTGGGGTTGATATTCCCAGTATGGGGGTGATCCCAGTACAGGCATATAGATGCCCCCAGTGAAGGTCTGATCACCCATTGATGGTGCAATATAGGCAGTCGTGTCCCCAGTACAGATAGGTCGATGCCCCCAGAGAAGGTCTGCTCCCACCACTGATGGTCCAGTATAGGGAGGTTGGTACCCCCAGTACAGATAATCAGATGCCCCCAGAGACAGTTGGATGCCTCCCGCTGATGGTGGAGTCCCCTATAAAGGTAGGTAAGTGCCCCCAGAAAAGGTCTGCTTCTCCCATTGATGGTCCAGTATAGGGAGGTTGGTGCCCCCGGTATGGGGTGATGGTGACCCCAGTACAGGCATGTGGATACCCCCAGAGAAGGTCTGATCCCCCAGTGAAGGTCTAGTATGGGTGGTGGAGTCCCTTGTAGAGGTAGATAGATGCCCCCAGTTTAGATATACTCCTCCATGTATGGTGCAGTAGAGGGGGGTTGGTATCCCCAGTACAGGTAGGTAGATGCCCCCAGTGAAAGTCTGATCCCCCATTGATGGTCCAGTATGGGCAGTGGGTCCCCCCATAGTGTAGGTAGGTGCCCCCAGTGCAGGTAGGTGGGTGCCCCCCCAGTATGGGCAGTGGGTGCACCCAGTGCAGGTAGGTGGGTGCCCCCAGTATGGGTGGAGGGTCCCCCCCTAGTGCAGGTAGGTGCCCTCAATGCAGGTAGGTGGGTGCCCCCCAGTATGGGCAGTGGTTGCTCCCAGTGCAGGTAGGTGGGTGCCCCCCAATATGGGCAGTGGTTGCCCCCAGTGCAGGTAGGTGGGTGCCCCCTAGTATGGGCGGAGAGAGTTCCCCCCCCCCGTGCAGGTCGTTCCCCCGGTCCCATCCCCGGCGGCGTCTCTCCTCACCTTGCCTCCCCACGATCTCAGCCACATGCTCGGAGCTGGGTACCGGCACACACTCGGTCATGTTGACGCTCTTCTTCCGGGGCTCGTTGTCGTACACGGAGTTCTCGTCGTTGTCCAGCCCGAGTAGGGAGAGCTGGTCCAGGGCGATCTGTAGGGCTCTCTGGTCGTCCAAGGTCTCCCCTCCTCCTCCCCCGGTGCCGGTCCTCTCCATGTCGGCGAACAGTGAGCTGGGCATGGTCGGTGCCGGCGGCTCCCCCGCTCAGACACAAAGGGAAGCTCGGTGTCCGGCACTAAGGAGAGAAGGGGGGCGGGCGGTGCTGGGTGTAGGACGGGCAGGCGGGCGGCTCCGGCCGGTGCTAGGGGCTCATCCAGCAGGATGCAGGCGGCGGCGGCTCCCCGACTTCTTTGTGGCCGAATATCGGCGGAGATGGACGCGGCTGTGTACGGAGCCCCTCCCCGGCTCTCACTCAGCGTTTTCCTCCCTCCTGTCTGAGCACTGCAGCCAGACGGCACTAGAGGGGGATAAGAGGGCCGTGACGTCACCCGGACACCACTGACAGCACAATGGAACTGACACCGGGGAGGGACGGCCCTATTGGCTCGGAGCGGCTCCGGGGGGCGGGGTACACCGCGTCTGGCACGCCCACTACTCCTCCCCCCTCCAGAGAAAGCGAGGAGAGAACTCCTTTCTTTGTTGTCTAATGCAGAACAATGAGGAGCGGAGGGACCGGGAGAGAGGAGGGGGCGGGGACCGCGAGAGAGGAGGGGGCGGGGCGCCGGCAGATGGAGGGACACTGGCATGGAGGGTCCTCCGCTCCAGCCGCCTCCACCCTTATCTGCACCCCCGGGGGGGCTTCTGCATTGTGTATGGAGCCCTACTGGGCCGGGGAGACTTCTGATTGGCCGCCCGGACCGTCCTAGGATATCATAGAAGTGTGATCCCAGAATGATACATTGTATCCGGCACCCCGATCTCCGCTATTGTCACCGGACAGACGTGTGCGCCCCGAGATCAGCCCCGCCCGCCCGTCTGTGTTGTTTATATATATGTGTGTGTTTTATTATAGATATTAGTACACTTGTCTTTATTCCTTTCTTTATATATATATACAGTATACAGTGTGTGTGTGTGTATATATATATATGTGTGTGTGTTGTTTATATATATATGTGTGTGTGTGTTTTATTATAGATATTCGTACACTTGTTGTCTTTATTCCTTTATTTATTTATATACAGTGTCTGTGTATACAGTGTGTGTGTGTATATATATATATATATATATATATTTATATATATATATATGTGTGTGTTTTATTATAGATTTTCTTACAGTATACAGTGTGTGTGTGTGTTGTTTATAGTGTGTGTGTGTGTGTGTTGTTTATATGTGTGTGTATGTATATATATATGTATATGTATGTGTGTGTTTGGTGTTAGAACATTGTTGCTCATTGTGTCTATTCTATATGTCTGTTTTCTATACATTTGGGATAAATCTGTATCGGTGTCTCTCTGCTGATCGGTCAATCACCCCGACATGGTCAACTCACTTTTGTTTTGCCTCCCCCCAGTCGGTAGGTAAGCAGTCGTCTGCCTTCCTCCGGTCCCCGGTGTCATTGTGGGGTGACAGTCCCTCTATACACACAGCGATCGTACACCGGGAGCGGAGAGGCTGGGCGGTCACCTCACAGGCGGGGTCACCCAGCAGCGGAGGGGTTAAAGCGCCACATAGCCGGAGCGCAGTACGGTGCAGAATAACACATGGAGGGGGGTGGGGAGGGATCGCTGGTCGGACACAATACGTCCGATAATTGAATTTGTAGCGGCCACAGCTGAAGTCAGTAACGATGCCGCCGGCTAATTACACACCGAGACCCGCTCCCCCCATACATTACATTGCGGGAACCGATCCCATCCTGATCCCCCCATACACTGCATTGTCTGCGGAGCAGATCCCACCCCATCCTGATCCCCCCTATATATTGCATTGCAGGAACCGATCCCATCTTGATCCCCCCCATACACTGCATTGTCTGCAGGAACCGATCCCATCCTGATCCCCCTATATATTGCATTGCAGGAACCGATCCCATCCTGATCCCCCATACACTGCATTGTCTGCATGAACCGATCCCCCTATCCTGATCCCCCCATCCCCCATACTCTGCATTGTCTGCAGGAACCGATCCCATCCTGATCCCCCTATATATTGCATTGCAGGAACCGATCCCATCCTGATCCCCCATACACTGCATTGTCTGCATGAACCGATCCCATCCTGATCCCCCCATACACTGCATTGTCTGCAGGAACCGATCCCACCCCATCCTGATCCCCCATACACTGCATTGTCTGCTGGAACCGATCTCCCGACCATTGTCTGCTATCAGGGGCAGATCGGACCCTGTCCACAACCCCCCCCCCATACATTGTATTGTCGGCTGTCCCCCCATCTCCCTTCCCCCCATGGTGAGCCCTCCACCACCCTGACCGGGGATGTGTCTGGGCATGTGGGATCTGCTCACACCTGACACCTCCTTTCTCTTGTCCTGTCTGTTGGCACCACTATGGGGGGGGGGGAGGGTTATACACCCTATACTACTGAGATTATAGACCAGAGGCTGCATTATAATGGAAACGGGTCCCCCGATACTAGACACCCCATCCAGATACTATAAAAACCCCCCATCCAGAGATTTTACACCCCATCCAGATACTATACACCCCATAAAGAGATTATACACCCCATCCAGATACTATACACCCCATCCAGATACTATACACCCCATACAGAGATTATACACCCCATCCAAATACTATACACCCCATAAAGAGATTATACACCTCATCCAGATACTATACACCCCATACAGAGATTATACACCCCATATATATACTATACACCCCATCCAGAGATTATACACCCCATCCAAATACTATACACTCCATCTATATACTATACACCCCATCCAGATACTATACACCCCATCCAGATATTATACACCCCATCTATCTATATCCATACTATGCATTCCATATATAATACACCCCATACTGATATTATACACCCCATCTATATACTATACACCCCATCCAGAGATTATACACCCCATCTATATACTATACACCCCATATATTATTATTATACAGGATTTATATAGCGCCAACAGTTTTCTCAGCGCTTTAAAATATAATGGGGGACAATACAGCAACATTACAGTTCAATACAAGAGGGATAGGAGGGCCCTGCTCCTTGGAGCTTACAATCTAAGAGGGAGGGGCTAGTGGTACAATTATTATTATATTATTATTATACAGGATTTATATGGCGCTCCGCACTGGTACAAGAGGTAATTAGCTGTGGGGGATGGAGTGGTAGGAAGAGTAGAGGATTCCAATATTAGCTGGGGTCAGGGTAGGCTTCCGTGAAGAGATGGGTTTTCAGAGTGTGCCTAAAAGTGAGCAGAGTAGGCGGATAGCCTGATAGATTGGGGTAGGGAGTTCCAGAGGATGGGTGATATATATAATATACACCCTCATCTATATACTATATACCCCATACAGAGATTATACACCCCATCCAGATACTATACACCCCATCTATATACTATTGACCCCATACAGAGATTATACACCCCATCGAGATACTATACACCCCATCCAGTTACTATACACCCCATCTATATACTATACACCCCATGCAGAGATTATACACCCCATATATATATTATATACACCCCATACAGAGATTATACACCCCATCTATATACTATACACCCCATATATATTATACACCCCATAGTGATATTATACACCCCATCTATATACTATACACCCCATCCAGATACTATACACCCCATCTATATACTATACTATACACCCCATCCAGATACTATACACCCCATCTATATACTATACACCCCATATATATAATATACACCCCATCTCTATACTATACACCCGATACAGATACTATACACCCCCTTATATATACTATACACCCTATACAGAGGTCATACACCCCATATATATAGTCTAGCCCCCCCGGGCGGTGTCTGCACATTGCAGGTAGGTGTCCTGTGTAGATTGCACTGACATGACAGTTCCTCCGGATGTTTGGCTCATCATATATACAGACCGCCCCCCCCACACACACACACACACACACACACACTCCTTTGTTGATTGGTGGAGCAGTGATAGCTCCCTGTGACCCCCATCCACCGACCCTGAGCACACAGACATTGAGACTCCGTGAGATCTGTCCACAATTCTCCATGGATGGGGATCACTCTGTCTCCCTGCATTGTATGAGAGCCACACACAGCCCACATCACTTCCATCGCCTTCTCTGTATATAGTTGTAGGGTGATACGTTGTTATCTGTATACAAGGATAGGGTGATACATTGTTCTCTGTATACAAGGAAAGGGAGATACATTGTTCTCTGTATACAGTTGTAGGGTGATACGTTGTTATCTGTATACAAGGATAGGGAGATACATTGTTCTCTGTATACAAGGAAAGGGCGGTACATTGTTCTCTGTATACAGTTGTAGGGTGATAGGTTGTATCTGTATACAAGGACAGGGTGATACTTTGTTCTCTGTATACAAGTGTAGTGATACATTGTTCTCTGTATACATGTGTAGGGTGATACATTGTTCTCTGTATACAAGGATAGGGTGATACATTGTTCTCTGTATACCTGTGCAGGGTGATACATTGTTCTCTGTATACAAGGATAGGATGATACATTGTTCTTTGTATACAAGGATAGGGTGATACATTGTTCTCTGTATACCTGTGCAGGGTGATACATTGTTCTCTGTATACAAGGATAGGATGATACATTGTTCTTTGTATACAAGGAAAGGGAGATACATTGTTCTCTGTATACAGGTGTAGGGTGATACATTGTTCTCTGTATGCAGGTGTAGGGTGATACATTGTTCTCTGTATACAGGTGTAGGGTGATACATTGTTCTCTGTATACAAGTGTAGAGTGATACATTGTTCTCTGTATACAAGGAAAGGGAGATACCATTGTTCTCTGTATACAGGTGTAGGGTGATACATTGTTCTCTGTATACAAGTGTAGGGTGATACATTGTTCTCTGTACACAAGGATAGGGTGATAAATTGTTCTCTGTATACAGGCATAGAGTGATCCATCTTTCTTCTCAGTACAGAGGTGTAGGGAGATACATTGTTCTTCTCTGTATACATGTGTTGGGTGATACATTGTTCTCTGTATACATGTGTTGGGTGATACATTGTTCTCTGTATACAAGGATAGGGTGATACATTGTTCTTCTCTGGATACAGTCTTAGAGTGATCCATCTTTCTTCTCAGTACAGAGGTGTAGGGAGATACATTGTTTTTCTCTGTATGCAGGCCTAGTGTGATACTTTGTTCTTTGTTAGACGCACCAGCATCCTAACAACCAATGATGTCACCTGCATGCCCAACCCCCAGAATCACAGAAGGACAGGAGTCGAACTTCTTCTGTCCAGACCTGCAGCCTGCTCCTCCTCCCAGATCCTGCCCTCTGGCTGCCTTGTACTAAAAAGTGCTGGGGCACTCTGATGGGGATACCTGAAGTCAGGGGCGCTCTGATGGGGACACCTGAAGTAAGGGGCGCTCTGATGGGGACACTGATGTACGGGGCACTCTGATGGGGACACCTGATGTAAGGGGCGCTCTGATCGGGACATCTGATGTAAGTGAGCTCTTTGATGGGGACATCTGATGTAAGGGGACACTCTGAAGAGGACACCTGATGTAAGGGGTGCTCTGATGGGGGACATCTGATGTAAGGGGCACTTTGATGGGGACACCTGATGTAAGGGGGCACTCTATTGGTGACATCAGATGTAAGGGGCGCTCTGATAGAAACATCTGATGTAAGGGGGTACTCTGATGGGAATACCTGATCTAAGTGAGCACTCTGATGGGAATACCTGATGTAAGGGGTACTCTGATGGGGACACCTGATGTAAAGGGGCACTCTATTGGTGACATCAGATGTAAGGGGTGTGCTGATGGGGACACTGATCTAAGTGAGCACTCTGATGAGAATACCTGATGTAAGGGGGTACACTGATTGGGACACCTGATGCAAAAGGGCACTCTGATGTGAACATTGATATAAGCAGGCACTGTGATGGGGACACTGATGTAAGGGGGCACTGTGATGGGAACACTGATGTAAGTGAGCACTCTGATAGGGACACCTAATAAAAGGGGGCACTCTGAAGGGGACAACTGGTGTAAGGGGGCACTCTATTGGGGACATTTGATGTAATGGGACACGCTGAAGAGAACACCTGATGTAAGGGGGCACTCTGATGGGGACACCTGATGTAAGGGATGCAAGTGTATGATCCAAACGCACACGTTCCTGCGTTAAAAATGGCTCTGTGTATAAGTGGGTGCTGCATTGACCGTCGGCTGGAACCAAACAAAATCAGCAAGAAAAAAATGTCACCAGCACACCAAGGATCACCAATATGGGTCCAAAGGTTTTAATAAACCATCACATAGTTACAGCAAGGCAACGTTTCGGAGTCTCGCAGGACCATTGGTCACATGTCTGATGAAGGGGTCCTGTGAGACTCTGAAACGTTGCCTTGCTGTAACTATGTGATGGTTTATTAAAACCTTTGGACCCATATTGGTGATCCTCGGTGTGCTGGTGACATTTTTTTTCTTTTCTACCTGATGTAAGGGGGCACTCTGATGGGGACACCTGATGTAAGGGGGCACTCTGATGGGGACACCTGATGTAAGGGGGCACTCTGATGGGGACACCTGATGTAAGGGGGCACTCTAATGGGTATATCTTATGTAAGTGGACACTCTGATGGGAATAATTGATGTAAGGGGCACTCCAATGGGAATACCTGATGTAAGGGGCTACACTAATTGAAACAACTGATGTAAAAAGGGCACTGTGATGGGAACACTGATATAAGCAGGCACTGTGATGGGGATACCTGGTGTAAGGGGGCATTCTGATGGGAATTCTGACGTAAGGGGGCACTCTGATGGGGCACCTGCTGAAAGGGGAGATTGTGATGAAGGCATGATATAAGCAAGCACATTGATGGCGACACCTGATGTAAGTGGCCACCATGATGGGGACACCTAATGCAAGGAGACACCTGATGTAAGGGGGAACTCTACTGGGGACATCCGATGTAAGGGGCACTCTGAAGAGGACACTTGATGTAAGAGGGCACTCTGTTGGGGACATCTGATGTAAGGGGGCACTCTGAAGGGGACAACTGATGTAAGGGGGCACTCTGATGTGCACGACTGATGTAATGGGGCACTTTAAAGGGGATATCTTATGTAAGTGAACACTCTGATGGGGACGCTGATGTAAGGGGGCACTCTGATGGGGACAGTGATGTAAGGGGGCACTCTGATGGGAATACCTGATGTAAGGGGGTATACTGATTGGGACACCTGATGTAAAAGGGCACTCTGATGGGACCAGTGATGTAAGGGGGCACTGTGATGGGGACACCTGATATAAGCAGGCAGTGTGATGGGGACTCCTGATGTAAGGGGGCACTCTGATGGGAATTTTGACCTAAGGGGGGAACTCTGATGGGGACACCTGATGAAGGGAGGATAGTAATGAAGGAGTGATATAAGCGGGCACATTAATGGAGACACCTAATGTAAGCGGCCACCATGATGGAGACACCTAATGTAAGTGGCCACCATGATGGGGACACCTAATGCAAGGAGACACTTTTAATGGAGACAGCTTATGTGAGGTAGCACAGTGACGGAGCTGATGTAAGGGGGCACTCTGGAAATTGACAGTAAATATTGAAAGTCTATGGAATATATATACCAGGATCTGAGTCGTCACACAAACATGAGATTCGGACCTCTGCTGTAAGAATATTTTACTGACCGGACCTTCTTGAACTCTAATTCAATACCTCTGCTCTACATAATAGAGAAAAAAGCAGTTCTGTGAGCGAAACCGAGAGCTTTTATGTCAGTAAAATTTGCAGCTGAATCGCTTTTAGCAAAATCCCTTCCTCTTAGTTGGGTGATCCATATTTTATAAATTGTGACTTGAGCGGTGAATTCATGGTGAGATCGGCCTCAATGGTATATTACTCTGGAAGGCTCCATAGAACAAAGACGCGTAGTGTTACCTTCACAGCGAATCCATCCAGCAGGCGCCCCATGTTGAACTGTTTTGAGGTCACAGTTTGCACTCTGTAATAACATACACTGAATTATGAGCAGCGGTTGATAACTGTAGTTAAAGGAACATGTGCTGACTTGCAGGTTGATTCTATAAGATGAATACATATTGTTGAGTGGAACAGATGGTCTTCAGCTCCCATTGGACGTTGTTTCACAGCCAGAAGATTGGATGATGTCATACACCACAAAAGTTCAGGTGGAGTTGGTGGAATTAGGAAAGTCTAGCCAAATTCCCAAACTTGCAACACATTAGCACACCTGCTTCAGTGTTTATATATGTATATGGAAATCCTCCTACGATGGAAAATTGAAAAACTGGCCGCAGTCTCTGAGTCTTTTTTTTCAATTCTATTAAAGAGGACATCATATAAAATGTTACACATTTACAATAATTCTGTCATTAAAAGGGGGCATTTGGAAGGAACAGGTCAGGTTGTAATGATGATTTAGTCTCATTGTTGCTGTGAATGAGAGTACGATATGTCCCATCACATCTGTCATGGGGAGTAAAATAAGCCCCACTGTTTCAGCCAGTAGGAGAAAAATAAGGTCCATTGCTGGTGTCATTGGGAGTAAAATAAGCCCCACTGTTTCAGCCAGTAAAAGAAAAATAAGGTCCATTGCTGGTGTCATTGGGAGTAAAATAAGCCCCACTGTTTCAGCCAGTAGGAGAAAAATAAGGTCCATTGCTGGTGTCAGTGGGAGTAAAATAAACCCCACTGTTTCAGCCAGTAGGAGAAAAATTAGGTCCATTTCTGGTGTCATTGGGAGTAAAATAAGCCTCACTGTTTCAGCCAGTAGGAGAAAAATTAGGTCCATTTCTGGTGTCATTGGGAGTAAAATAAGCCCCACTGTTTCAGCCTGTAGAAGAAAAATAGGGTCCATGCTGGTGTCATTTGGAGTAAAATAAGCCCCACTGTTTCAGCCAGTAGGAGAAAAATTAGGTCCATTTCTGGTGTCATTGGGAGTAAAATAATCTCCATCTTTGGTGCTTTGAATGTAAAATAAGCCCCATTGTCGGTGTCATTCAGAACTAAAATATGCCCCATAACTGGTTACATTAGAGTAAAATAAGCCTTATCATCGGTGTAATTGGGAGTAAAACAAGCTCCATTGATGGTGTCATGTCTTTGACTAACATGGGATTTCATATGTCATGCGACTTGGAGGGTCTTAGAAGTTGCATTTTTGGCTCTATAGACTTCAATAGAAATGCTGCAGAAAAGCATGTAGTGTGTTTTTGATGCGTTTTTGCCACATTTGATTTTTAAAGAAAATTTAAAATCGTAAAAATTTTAAAAAAAAAGCCTAACCTAGCGTTTTCTGAAGCATTTTGCAGAAACGCAGTACAGTCCATATAACATGATTTCCTATGGGACACGTTCACATCTCCACGTTTTCACCCGGCACGTTTTTTGGAAGGGGTCAGGGACTTTTTTGAACACAAAAACTTGCATTTTTGGTTCTATAGACTTCAATGTAAACAGTGCAGAAAAGCATGTAGTGCGTTTTTGCCACATTTTTTGATGTGTTTTGCATTTTAAATCTGCCTAGCAACAAGAAAAAAGTAAAAACGCATCAAAAACAGATGTAAAAATGCAACGCATTAGCGGAAATGGCTCAAATGCAACCTGCACGGGTGTGAGCCTAGCCTAAGATCGCAGGGGGGAGGGGGGGACACAGATAGCAGTGAACACAACTGCTTGTCTGCTAAAAACTGGGAAGCTCTTGAATGCAATTTTGTTTGTGTGAAGAGACATTTGTGTTGCACATGTGCAACTAATTAAAGGGCCAGTAGAGCCAGAATTAATGCTTCAGCAATGAGCCAGCCTGAGAGTCTCTGATGGGCTGGATTCTTATATCCCTTGCTTCTTATGCCTAGCACACACTATGAGAACATTGAACGATCATCTGATTTTCCATGATATACCCGACAATGGTATTAACTTCTACGAAAATTCTCAACTGACAAAAGGCAAACGTAGGCAAAGCTACATACCACCGGTAACATAGGAGGAGATGAAGTGTAGGGACGTTCTTTGCTTCTGAGCATGCCTGTTTTTTTCTATTCGATTCATTCTGTACACATTAAGCATTGTGTTCACGTACGATAAAAAATTTCCAGCTTTTACCTTCAGTTTTTGTGGTCTGAACAGTCAGAATTGGCTGCTGAATGCACTATACAAGGGGTCCACAAACTTTGGAAACAAAGCTCCATTTTACTGCCCTTCAGACTTTAGGGGTGGGCAGGCTGTGACCAGTGGGGAGGGAAAAATGTCCCAGGCCCAGCACTAGTGATAGCAAATAATGCTTCAGACATAGTGTTCAGTTGCATAGTGCCTGTTGTCAGTAGGAAAAGGAATAGTGCCCCATCTCTGGTGTCAGTGGATGGACTAGTGCCCCATCATTGGTGTCAGTGGATGGAATAGTGCTCCATCTCTGGTGTCAGTGGATAGAATAGTGCCCCATCTCTGGTGGTGTCAGTCAGTGGTGGATAGAATAGTGCCTCATCTTTGGTTTCAGTGGATGGAATAGTGTCCTATCTCTGCTGTCAGTGGATGGAATAATGCCCTATCATTGGTGTCAGTGGATGGAATACTGCACAGGGGCGGACTGACCATTTGGAAACTCAGGCACTGCCCGAGGGCCCGGGGTCGGTAGGGGGCCCCATGAGATGCCCCTGGTACCTTTTTCATAAGTGTTTTTGAGTTTGGGCAAGGACACAGGGGCCCATCATCCCCCATCTCTGTCAGTGGGAATAGATGCATTGCCCGGGGGCCCCATGAGTTGTCAGTCTGCCCCTGATACTGCACCATCATTGGTGGCAGTGGATGGAATAGTGCCCCATCTCTGGTGTCAGTGGATGGAATGATGCCCCATCTCTGGTGTCAGTGGATAGAATAGTGCCCCATTATTGGTGTCTGTGGATGGAATAATGCCTTGTCATTGGTGTCAGTGGGAGGAACAGTGCCCCATCATTGGTGTTAGTGGGAGGAATAGTGCCCAGTCATTGGTGTTAGTAGATGGAATAGTGCCCCATCATTGGTGTCTGTGGATGGAATAATGCCTCGTCATTGGTGTCAGTGAGGAGGAACAGTGCCTCGTCGTTATTGGTGTCAGTGGGGAGGAATAGTGCCCCATCATTGATGTTAGTAGATGGAATAGTGCCCCATCATTGGTGCCAGTGGATGGAATAGTGCCCGTCATTGGTGTCAGTGGGAGGAACAGTGCCCCATCATTGGTGTCAGTCATTGGGTCAGTGGGAAATAGTGCCCCATCATTGGTGTTATTAGATGGAATAGTGCACGTCATTGGTGTATGTGTGGGGTTAATAGTGCCCCATCATTGGTGTTAGTAGATGGAATAGTGCCTCATCATTGGTGCCAGTGGGAGGAATAGTGCCCCATCAATGGTGTCAGTGAATAGAATAGTGCCCCATCATTGCTATCAGTGCCAGGAGTAGTCTCTCATCACTAGTGCCAGTGGATGGAATAGTGCCTCATCAATGATATTATTAGTGAGAGAGGAATAGTGTGCCATTGGTGTCAGTTGGGGGAAATATGCCCCACTGTTGGTGTCAGCGTTAGAAATAGTGCCTAAAATAAATGGGAGCAATGGTCCCCAAGGGCCACATAAAGGCTACCAAAGGGCTGCATTCGGCCCTCGGGCCACAGTTTGCACAACTGCTCTACACCAACGATCAGATAACTGACTGATCGTTCCTCATACGGACAGGTTCATATGATTTTCTTATCCTGTGCACAGGCCTTTAGGCAAGATCGTTTCTGCTGCTCTCTTTCCAGCCTTGCTATCTTATTCCATAGAGTCTCACTCTTCTTGCTGCAGCAGTACCACTGTTATTCCTCCTGCTTCTTTATAATGTAAAAACAAAAATGCAGCAGAGAGGAGACTTTCCTATAATAGCCATGTGAGATGGAAGGACCGGAGCCCTTGCTCAGTGATTTAGCCTTTAGGTATCTACCCATAATTGAAATACCAGCTTTGGGTGGACTTAGGCTCTAATGCCATTTGTCACTCTTAGTGGGATGAAGATATATTTAAAACACAAATGTCCAATATATGACGGTAAATGAACACACAGGCTAAATCTGCACAAGTCCCTGTCATTTATCAGGATGTGATTTTAGGGGATTCCCACTGGTTGGGTGTGATTGCCTTCAGTACAATTAATAGGACCCAGGACAGCTGCTCTGTGTTTGACACCACAACTGTCTCTTGTATT